GAAGAAACCTGCTTTTGATCATTTTTCTAGAGATCTGGGTGTGAATCCTTTTTTGCCTCTGAGGTGGGTGGTGAGAGACGGGCCCAGCTGTCCAAGGCCAGACGTCCCCAGGTGGGGGGAGCGCAGCGGCCGGGTGGGCACTGCCTCTCGGGGGGGCCTCGATCTGTTTTTTCCAAGTGCCACATGGGACTGAGGCAGACGCTCCCAGTCAACCCGCTCAATACTGAAGATGGTGTGAAGGAAGCGTTCTTGGTGCTACACAGTCTGGAAAAGCAGCCTGGGCTTCACTGGCAGGAAGCGGCCGCAGCCGCATCGGTGTCCAGCGCGTCGTGGCCTCTGGTCCAACCGCCAGGCCCTAGTCTCAGTCAGGGAGTCTGCTCTGCCTCCCAGGCGGGATCGCTGGTTTCTCTCAACCTCGCAGAGCTCCTGACACAGGTGGCTTCTACGTCGTCACTACTTCCCGGTGTCATTCCGAGGCTGGGCCTTCTTCTGACACAGGCTCCAACCCCGCCTGACCAAGCCTGGGATAGTCAAGGCTTCTCAATTTGTATTTTCCAGGCGAGAGAACTTTGTACCCCTTTTCCGTGTGGATAGACTCCCCAGTGTTTATACTCTGGAAATGCCCACAGGGCTTGCTGCGTGCAGACTGATCTGTTCCACCCGTTAGCGTGAGGTAGCAGTGTCGCCTCGTCCCTCCCACTGCGGGCTCACGGGGAGCTGGCGCCTGTCAGTGCCTTGTTGCGCCTGGCATAGAGGTTGAGCTGGAGGCCTGTCCACTGGCTTCTGGAGCTGAAGGTCTGGGTCACGGTGAAAATTCGGGATGTTTACAGAGCATCACAAATGCCTCTCTCTCGCCGCTCTCTCATTTTCTTTGTGTAACTATGCAGCCTTTCCTCTCTTTCTGGGATGTTTGGGACTTTACTCGACCTGCACGGGCTCTGCCCGACATGCCGTGGGAGCTGCTGGGATTCCTTTAGAAACCGCTGCCCGCATGCTTTGAAAACAGACCTTTCTCAGCTGGCTGTGGGGACCTGTCAGAGTCTGGGGACCTGGTGTGCAGGGCAGGCTCCAAGCGCTTTGCTTCCGGACCTCAGGCTTCCCAAGGGGCGCTGTGCAGACTGACCACCGGCCTCCCGCCTGCAGGTCAGAGGCTCTGACACTGTCTGGTTTCCAATGCTTCTGGAGACTTCCTGCCTAGGCCTCATCCTCTTCTTTGCCAGTCACCTGATTAACCAGTTCTCCAGCATTAGGACTTACCTCCTCGTTTTTGTAAGGTCTCTTGTATGTTGTTACATGTTTGGCTTAAACAATTTATAAAAGCCTTTCTAGAAGGCAGACTTAGCCACGGTCGACCCTGTCCTCCCCAGCAGAGCCCGGGAGGACGACGGCCGCTGGGGCTCCTGGGCATCCTCTCTGGGGAGCTGCTGGCCGCTTAGCGTTGTTTGACTTTTGACCTTGACATAGTAGATAGGCTTGTGGTTTTTTTAATTTAAAGATATTAAGACTTAATTCACTAAAATTTATTCTGAGGGGATATTTATACTTTTATACTTTTTTAGGTATTGTATTTTATCAGCTTACAGTTTAATGCCTAAGTTTCCCCTGAAAATAGCAAATAAAATTGTGTATTTATGAATGAGCGTAGCAGCTGTTAATGGTCTTAAGATGCAGGGAAATGCCAACTCGGGTCGCTTGGACCAAGGTGCTGCCTCTCCAAGCCGCCCAGCCCCACTGGCCGCCACGGCTCACTCGGGGCTCTGCCTCTCAGTCGATGACCGGGGCAGAGCCGGGCAGTCCATGGGGTGCTAGCTTGGCTGGGGCCACTGGATCAGAGCTGCACAGCCTATCCCTGCATCCTGCTCCGCCTGGACACCTCACCTGCCTCCAGCAGATATCATACCCCCATCCTGGGGGACTACAGACCATGTACAAGGGCCTTTTTTTTTTTTTTTTCCTTAAGAGACAAGGGTCTTGCTACGTTGCCCAGGCTGGTCTTGAACTCCTGGGCTCAAGTGATCCTCCTGCCTCAGCCTCCCAAGCAGCTGGGATTCCAGGCGTGAGCCATTGCGCCCGGCTCAAGTGATGTTTTTTTTGGAAGTCCTGATACCTCAAGTCAATGTCCACCTCTCCTCCCTCACTTTAGCCTGCAGCCCAGGTGGTGACAGCAGGAGCTTCCTGAGAAGGTCCTGGGGTCCTGGCACCCCCTCCCCAGCTGCTATGACTTCCCCTGGTGGCTGCTTTGCGAAGGCTTGGTCCTTGGACTCTCTGCCCCCCTGCAAGGAGATTCCCATTCATGGTGTCCCCCAGGGCCTGGCTGTCTGAGGTCACAGAGCCTCAGGCTGTAGTGGCCTTGTCCATCCTGTTTCCAGGTGTGTGGCTGGCCCAGCCTGACCGCAGCACCCTGGTGAGGGGTGGAGTGGGTGACTGGGCTTCCAGGAGCCCAGCATGAGGCCGGCACAGGGGTTGGGAGCAGGGGAGAGACCCAGATTCTGCTCCAAGGGGTCTTCCCGCTGCCTGACTCCCACCAGGAGCCTGGTTAGGCCTTGCAACCCCTTGACCGGGTAGAGTTGTGGGCACTTGGGAGAGGCCTCAGCATGGCAGGCATCCCTAGCCAAAGCCCGGAGCAGGTCTCCCATCCAAGCAAAAGGCTGGAAAGCAGACAAGCCGTGCAGTTTGGATCCTGAAGCCGAGGACGCTTAGGGCCGCTGGGTCTGCTGGGCAGGGAGGGAGCCCTGTTCCTCCTCAGACCTAGGGCTCCGGCATAGCCCACCCACTGTGGGGGCTGGGGCCCCGCCCCACTCCAGGAAGCCCAGTGTGAGGGCAGAAGAGGAGGCAGGGGCGGGGCACGTGCAGATGCCTCCCGTGGGTGCCCATCCCCCCAGGCTTCCTGCAGAGCCCATGACTGGAGCCCTCCAGCAGCTGGCACCACCCTCGACATCCCTGCATTTATTGGTGTCCATTCAGCAGGGACTTCTGGCACCCTCCTTCCTCCTAGAGCGCATGGCAGTGGCTGGCTGGGGTAATAAAGAGCTGGCCCCACAGTACGGCCACCAAGGCCCTGATGTGGCGTCTGTGTGAGGGGTGGTGACTTCCGGCACCTCTGCACTCTGAGCTATGTCCCCCAAGATGGGTCAGTTTGCCCTCAGACCAGCCCTTCCTCCCCAGCGTTCCCAGGCCTGGGGCTTGGCACAGGGAGGCCCAGCCTGTGGCTGACCCCTCACCGCAGTTCACCGCTCCCGAATGGAGCCCACAGACTTCTTTCCCGGGCCTCCCGCTGTGTGTGTGGTGTGTGTGTGTGTGTGTATATGTGTACGTACGTACTGGCTGTACATGGTGTGGGTGTGGTGTGTGCCTGTGTGCACATGGTGTGTGTGGCATGCACATGTGCTGTATGTGATGTGTGGCATGTGGTGTGTGCCTGTGAGTGGCATGGGTATGGTGTGTGTGTGTGTGTGCGCGCGCGCACATGGGCCAACTGAGCCTGGGGATGAAGGCTGCCGCCCGCTCTGCCTGCCTCCCTGGGAGCCACAGAACGTGCGCAGTCCTGTGCCAGGCTCTCCCTCGAGTTCCTCCTGGAGCTGGCAGGGGCCCTGCTGCCGCCCACCTGGCAGATGGCTCAGAGCCCTGCTTGGTGGCAGCGTGCAAAGTCTGAGCTGCACCCCCGCCCCAGGGTGGAAAAGCGACCTGTGGCAACCTGGACTGGTCCCTTCCTAGCGTCCTCCTCACAGCGTGCTTCGTGGGAGCTGTTAATTGCATGGAATAGACCTGTTTTCCCTTCTTAACCCCTAGTCTCTGCAGAGAGTGTTTTCTGCTCCCCTCCCATGGGCATCCGCCTGTTGACATCCTGGGTCTGGGTGGGGTCTCAGCACAAAGACAGCAGGGGCTGCCCTCCTGAGACCATCTAACCTGTAGCCTCCCCCTGACCATGGGGGCATGGGGCTCTTTGCACAGCCCAGAGCAGGGTGCAGGTTCACTGGGGGCTCTCCAAGGCTGCGAGGCCTGGCCAGTCCCTGCTCGGCTAGGACCACCCAGTGCTGCTGCTCCCCGGGCCTGTCTCTCCCTCTGCCTGGGCTTTGTGCATCTGCTCCACCATGGGGCTGTGCACACAGGCCCCCCAGACCTGCCCGCCCGCCCCTGGGCTGGATGAGTGCAAGAAATGGCCCACGGGGACCACTGGGCAGCCCTTGGGGAGGTGGGTTGGGCCCAGCGGGGAATTCCTTCTGTTTTGCTCCCCATGGTGTCCCCAGGGCTGGTCCCCAGCAGCTGTTTGCTGAGTGGGTGTTGGTTTGATTCCTCGGTGAATACCCCGGGCCTGATTTCTTCCTGGCACTGTGCAGGCCACAGTGCCTGTGTGCATGTGCACAGGTGTGTGTGGGTGTGATGTACTCGTGCGCATGTCCAGCCTAACCCCCTTGCCACCACGTGCTGCTCTGGACTCCGGCATGGGGGTGGAGACTGAAGAATGGGGCGGAGGAAGAGGAGCCAAGGGTCAAGGGGAGACACCAGGACACGGAGACAAAGGATGCCAGGAGCAGGAAAGCACAGGTGTGGGCACCCACCCGAGGGGACAACTGTCACCACTCCTGCTGAAGTGGTTTAGAGAAGTTGGGTGGCACCAAGACATGGGCAGCCAGAAGTGCAGGCTTGGGAGGCTGAGGTGCCCCTGCCCAGCCAGCCCCTCCATGCCCTCCTCTCCCCCAGGCACGGCTCCTGCATGGCCCTGAGGGCCTTTCCACATGTGTCTGTCGCTGTCCGCAGTGTCCACCCTGGGGCGGCCTTCGAGGTGAGGGAACAGAGGAACAGGTGGCAGCAGGGGGCCTCCTGTGCGAGGCGCCTGACAGGGGTCCCATGCTCTGGTGCCGCCCTCCCCTCAGACACCAGCTGCAGCTCCCTTCCGCTGATTCAAAGATGACCAGAGGCCTCCACATCTCCCGCCTGGGCCTTGTTCTGCAACTCACAGCTCCTCACCAGCTGGGGTCGCCCAAGGATCCCCACGTGGGCAGCTGGCACACAGGCTGGGTTTTTATTGGAGGAAACATAAATAAAATAACGGTATTTGAGAGGGGAGGAAGGAGCACTATTTACAAATGAGTCTGGTGGGGCTCAGAGGTGCAACAGCAGCGCTGGGAGAACCAGGAGGATGGTGTGGGCAGCCAGGCTGGGTGCAGAGCTCTGCTCAAGGGGCTCCTGGCCCCGAGGGTCTGGCTTCTGGCCGTCCGACCTCGCTGGCTGGAACTGCAGTGTGGGGATGACCTGATGGATCCAGTTGTGGTGGGCGGTGACACGGATGTAGACACCTGGGCGGTTCTGCCGGGCGCAGCCTTCACCCCAGCTGATCACCCCGGCCTGCAGCCATGACTGACCCACGAGGCACACCAGAGGGCCGCCCGAGTCGCCCTGTGGGGGATGCAGAGGCACTGTCAGCCCACCTTGAGTTCCCGGAGACTCAGTTGCAGCCGCACAGGAGGCATGTAGCTCCACACTGGACTCCTCTCATCCCAGAGCCTCCATGCCCGGCTCCCCCTCTCCTGCCAGTCGATTGACTAGAGTGCCTATTTTTTTAGTGTCCCCAGATCAACTAGGGGGTGTGTGCGTTGAAAATGCAGTTTCCTGTGGCTCACCCCAGAACCACTGACTCCTGGGATGGGGTCCAGGAATCTGCTTTTTCTTTTTTGAGACAGAGTCTCACTGTCGCCCAGGCTGGAGTGCAGTGGCGCGATCTCTGCTCACTTCAAGCTCTGCCTCCCAGGTTCGTGCCATTCTCCTGCCTCAGCCTCCCAAGTAGCTGGGAGTACAGGCACCCACCACCACGCCTGGCTAATTTTTTGTATTTTTAGTAGAGACGGTTTCACCGTGTTAGCCAGGATGGTCTTGATCTCCTGACCTCGTGATCCGCCTGCCGCAGCCTCCCAAAGTGCTGGGATTACAGGCATGAGCCACCGCGCCCAGCCCCGGAATCTGCTTTTTCGAAGCAAGCTGCTCAGCTGGTGGAATGCACAGCCCATGGAGCAGGGCATGATCCCACCCTGCCCTGGGCCCGGAGGCGGGGACTGAGTCCCCGTGGACACCACATTGCTCCCACCTTGCAGGCGTCCTTCTTGCCCTCCTCAAAGCCGGCGCACAGCATGTCATTCTTGATGGTTTTAGGTTGATAGCCAAATTCGGCGTCTTTGCTGTAGAGCAGGTTGCACTTGGGTGTGTCAATGATGGGCACGGCGAGTTTCTGCAGGATCCGCGGGTTGGGCAGGCGGTCTGGGGAGGGTCAGAACGGCCCGGGGCTCAACAGACTTCCTCATCAAGAACCCACGGCCTCGGGAACCACCACTCCATCCTGCCTGCCCTTTCCTCATGTTTAGACTATCTCTGGCCTAGGGCACTGTGGGGCAGACATCCTCCCTCCTTCCAGGCAGCAGGCTGGGCCCTTTCTGTCCCCGTCTCCCTTCACCCCCTCTTCCTTCTGGGTCTGCTGCTGCTCCCCTCAGCCCCACCTATGTGAACAGAGACCGGGTATGTGTATTAATACAGCAACAGGAAGACTGTGGGTTCAGAGTGGCCCCCAAGCCGCCCTGGGCCTTCTTGAGGCACATCCCTCATTATTTCCTAGCCGTGTTTCCTCACCTTGTTCACTGGAGCTGCCCCAGCCAGTGACCCAGCAGTTCATGCCCGTCTCAAAGATCACCGAGGGGTCGGGCAGGCACACGGGGAGGATGTAATTGGTGAAGGACACTGGTTCCTCCAGCTCCACCAGGGCCACGTCGGCACTGGAGGCCATGCCCTGGTACAGGGGGTTGCTCTCCACCCGCCTCACCCGGGCATACACAGCGTGCGGCCCTGGCTGCACTAGCTGCCTTGCCCCCAGCAGGACCTGGTACAGGGACGTCTCAGAGGTGCTGGTGGGAGAAGCAGAGAGGCCGTGTGAGGCTGCCCCTCATGTGGGGACAGTCCCGGGAGGGGCTGGGGCTCCTTCTCTGGCCACCATCGTGCCCCACACCTCTCTCTGCATGCTGTCTTTGAGAGCCATCTCTAGGACAGCCAGGTGTAGCAGTGATGCATGTTTACATTGAAGCCAGACCGCCCTCCTCAGATTTCCACCTCCACCCCTGGCCGCTGTGTGACCTTGGGGAAGTCACCTAACAAGTTCTCTGTGACGCAGCTTTTGCATCTGTGCTATGGGGACAGCCACAGTGCCTACCCGAAAGGCTGGCTGGGAGAGAACCACCCTCCAGGTGCAGCAGGGCCAGCACCACCTGTGGGCCTCTGGCAGGTGACCTGCCCTCTCTCAGCCCAAGTTTCTGATTTTTTTTTCCCCCTAGAGACAGAGTTCTCATTCTGTCACCCAGGCTGCAGAGCAGTGACACAATTGTCGCTCATTGCAGCCTCCAACCCCTGGGTTCAAGCCATCCTCCCACCTCAGCTTCCTGAGTACTTGGGACCACAGGCACCACTGCACCTGGGTATTTTTTTTTTTTTGTAGTACAGATAGGGTCTTGCTATGTTGCCCAGGCTGGTCTTGAACTCCTGGGTTCAACTAATCTGCCTGCCTTGGCCTCCCAAAGTGCTGGGATTATGGGCATGAGCCACCGTGCCTGGCCGTGAGTATCTGAATTTAAGATGTGGGTTTTTTGTCATGATACTCTTTTAAAGATCAAGAAGAAAAAAGAAAAAAGAAAAAGATGTGGGGTTTAAAATAATTAGAGCTGTGGTGGTGAGGTGTGAGGTGAGGAACTTGAGACACACAGAAGGTGTGGGGCCAAGTGGTTCATACACGGCAGAGGGCTGGGTGGCCTGGCCTCTGCTCAGGGCTTTCTGGGGTGGCTCATGTGGGTGAGGGGAGGAAGGGCCATTCTGTCTGGTCCTTGGGCTTTGTGAGCAGAGTTCCTCCTGGGAAGAGTGTCGTGGAGCTGAGGTGTGTGCGGAATGGGGAAAGGACAGGACAGGCCGGTGTGCAGAACCTGCCGGCGGCTTCCGCAGGGACCCACAGGGAGTGGGTGGAGGGGATGGAGGGGGTTGGAGGCCGTGCGAGGCGCCTCCCGCGGGCGGGAGCAGCGGTTGCAGTTGGAAGTTAGCCCTGGGGTTGGACCTAAGGGAAGCATCTGGCTGGAAAGGAGGCGGGGCTGGACCAGGAGCCCCCAGGGAGGTCCCCCACAGGACTTGGCGCGGCGGGCGCTGTCCGCGGTGCTGAACCGGCCGCGCGCGGGGCGCTGTCAGCGCTGCGGGCGGGGGCAGGGGCGGGCGGACTCACTTGGGGAAGCAGTGCGCGGCCGTCAGGACCCACCGCTCCGCGATGAGGCTGCCCCCGCAGAAGTGGCTTCCGTTGCGCTGGATGCTGACTTGCCAGGGCCACTCGCCCTCCTGCGCGTCCTGCCCGCCCACCATTCGGTTCAGCATCCTGGTGTGCCCACAGGCTGGGGGAGCATGGGGTGTGGGTGGGGGCGCTCACTGGGGCTGGTTCCATGGCCGAGGCTCAGCCCTCAGCCTCACACTCCAGTCCTCGGCCCTCCTGCCCCTGACCTGCCCGAAGACCTTGGGGAAGTCCGAGGCCTGAGCTTCTGGGCAGCCTGGGATACAGGCAGACCCTCCCTAGTTGCCCCCTGAGTCTGGCTCTCCTTGCGGGGAAGGGCAACCTAACAGCTGCCTCGTGGGGGCCACAGAGACACTGAGATAACCCGGGGAAGGGTCTTGTCCTAGGGCCTGACCCAAACAGGCACCTGGAAGGATGGAACGGGTGTCATGCCCTCTGCAAGGGAGCCACCCAGAGGGGGCGGGTCACTTTTCAGGGTGATCCTCAGACCCCGCCACCCTTGTCCTGCGCTGCGCCTCAATGCTCTGTGCTGGCCATCCTGCTCCCATGTGGACCTTCCTCCTCCTCTCCTTTCTGGGCTCCAGTTCCACGCAGCCCCCACTTTCCCCTCCTCTGGAATTCTCCAGTGCCCTTTGCGTTCCAAATTCCCTCTCGGTGTGAGTGTCCCTGTTTCAGTCCAGCCAGCTCCTGTCCCTCCCACCCCAGGGCCTTGGGTGCTTACCTGTTGCTGCCTTGGCCACCTGAGACCCTGGAAGTGAGGAGAGGGTGATCAGCCAGGCCAGCTGCAGCCTGGCCTACCCTCCCCAACCATGCAGCCCCTCTCCACTGACCCTCCCCTGCTCCGGAGGACTCCAGAAGGACAGTCCACAGAGGGACCTCACAGGAGAGCCCAAGGGCCTGCAGTTTCCCCCCAGGGCTGGCTCTGCCATATGCTCAGGCCCAGGCCCATGGGCCAGAGCTTATCTGCAAGGGTGGATGCTCCTTGCCACATGGGGAGCCGGTCAGGAGGTGCCAGTGAAGGGATCCCCAGGCTAGATGTCCCCTTCTCATCCTGGCAAGGGTTCTCTCTCTCCACACTCCCCACCCATCCTTGTCTGGAAGTTTCTGGGGAGGGTCCAGCCTTCAGCCCTGACACTGTGGGGTTGGCCTTTTCTCCTGGAACAGCTTGGAGCGGAAGAGGCCCAGGAACTGTCTCTGCATTTGAGCTGCCCAGGCTCTCTCACAGTCTGCTCCAGAATGGGCAGGTCTTCTTCCCCAAGTCTCACTTTGGTCCTGAGGCTGAGGCCTGAGCCCCACAGGCTTCTCCCTGGCCTCAGGGGGGTAGAGAAGGTACAGTGGTCTGCATTGGCCACCAGAGATCAGCCTTGTCAAGATTCCAGAGTCCCAAGAGCTGACCCCTCTCCCAGGCATGCAGCAGGCTCTGCAGGCGAGACCCAGGACCCCCTGCTGGACTGTGCAAGGGGGACTTTGGGGTGGATACAGTGAGGGGCCAGGAAGAGAAGTAAGGTATGGGATCGTTCAGGGGAACCAAGGATGGGACATTGCCTCCCACACCCAGGACACAAAGGACCTCTTGCTGGGCCTTTAACCAAACACTGGAGCCTCTACCCCAGCTTGGAGACCCCAGTCAGGACCACAGTGTACAGCCCCAGGGGTAGCAAAGCCTGGAACTGCCTGGCCTTGAGTCCTCTCACCACCCCTGCACTCCGTGCGTCTGCTTCTGTGGGGGCAGATTTGCCCGTAGCTGGGCGGGGGGTTAGAACAGGCACCTCCCCACATCTCGGCCCTCAGCTTCCCCTTAACCTCCAGTGCCTTCTGGGACCCAGCCTTGCTGCTATGGACCATGTCTTCGCTCCGCCTGGAAAAGATAACCAGTTCCCTGAAGTCAAGGGGCTGTGGGGACAGGAAGTGGCCATGGAGTGCTCAAGCACCCCGAGGGTTTTTACGGCATCCTCTTCCTTCCTGTCTGGCTCACAGTCTGGGGGGCACCTTTCCCAACACCATTGGTGGGCAGAGACACCCCTGGGGGGTGCTGGACAATAAGGCAGCAAGCTGCAAGGGGGCAGCTGTGGATGGGCAGGAGGAGAAGGTAGAGAAGGTGCAGGGCAGGCAAAGGCGTCCCCTGCAGATGCGGGGTCAGGAGCAACGGGAAATGGAGAGTCTGCCCTGGATGCTCTGCTCATTAATTTGTGCTAATTAGGTGCCCTTTTAAAATGCAAACACCCCCAGGAGGGTTATTCCCTGCCCCCCCCCCAACCCCGACCCCTTGCTCCTTCCAAGCCTGAGGATCCTGCTTGCAGAAGAGCGCATACTGTCAGGCCTTCTCACCCTCTGGGAGTCTGCAGAAGCTGTGTCTCTATGCTCCCGGCCTGAGCACTGCCCCCTCCAGCGATGCCTCCTCCCCGTGCAGATCCTTCCTTCCTGAAGTAACCCTGTACTTCTCATTTAGGCAGAGTCTTCTGGCCTGTGAGTGCTTGCTCCCCTCACCCCACAATCTGGATGCCCTTCCCCTAGTCTCTGTAAATCCTAGTCTTCTTTTTTTTTTTTTTTTTTTTTGAGACAAAGTCTCACTGTGTCACCCAGGCTAGAGTACAGTGGCACAATCTCAGCTCACTGAAAGCTCCGCCTCCCGGGTTCATGCCATTCTCCTGCCTCAGTCTCCCAAGTAGCTGGGACTACAGGTGCCCACCACCGCGCCCGGCTAATTTTTTGTATTTTTTAGTAGAGATGGGGTTTCACCATGGTCTCGATCTCCTGACCTCGGCCTCCCAAAGTGCTGGGATTACAGGCGTGAGCCACGGCGCCCAGCCAAGTCCTAGTCTTGATCTAGAGATCAAGGCCCAACTGAATGCTGCCTCCTCCAGGAAGCCTTCCTTGCTGCTTGCATTGTCTATCTTGGAAGCCCCATACTCTCTCTCGAGCTCTCTGTCCTTCTGATGGGAGCTCTGCCTACAACACCCTGGAGCCAGAATCAAGTCTTATCTTAGCCCAGGAGCTCCAAGAAGGCAAAGGCTGCGTCTGGGGGACCTGAGCTCAGGAAATGTGTGGAGAGACACAAGTGTGGCTGTGGGGGCTGATCGGAAATGGGTGATGTGGAGAGCTGAGCCCTCCAGGGTGGGCGCCTTGTGGGGGCTGGAAGCAACAGACAGGGGTGCCGGGGATGTCGGGAGCATTGTTTGGGGCCTGGGCCTGTGATTCGCTGGTAGCTGGTGGGGATGGTGAAGCCTAGGACTCTAGTGGGTGCCAGCCAAAGACCTGGTGGGGGTGCCACCCTGGGGCTGGGGGTGAGGACGCATCCAGGAGTCCAGCCTCTGGTCATAGCTGTTGGTGAACCAACTGCAAAACTCATTGCCCAAGAGTTTTGGCAATGACCTTGGTTCCTCACCCCGCTCAGGGGCAGTCACTGCCTTCCACCTTCTGTGCAGATGGCTCGCTCAGAAGGCACCACCATCCTTGTGCTGGGAGGCTGGGGGGATGGGGTGGGGGAGGCCGGGCCAGAGGGGCCACTCTGGTGCCCTCCTGCCCAGGAGAACTAGGAAGCCAGGAGTCCTGGCTAAGCTGCAGCCTGGGATGACCCGACCCAGCCCTGGGAGGTGACTTGAGGACAGGGAAGTGTGGTGGCTGCCGGGCTGGCCAGGCTAGCCCAGGAATGTGAGAGGGTTTCCCTGACAGAGAGTGTCCTGACCTGCAGGGAGGACCTGGCAGGTGGGGCCCCCTGGTTGGCACCTGCTATCCCTGACCCAGGACTGGGAGACGGCACAGTGGCGCATTGCCAGTTCCTCTGTCAGCAGGGGATAGGGCCCTCTGCCACCTGCACCCCCTGCCCCCAGCTCTCTATTGAGCCCGCAGCCAGCCTGCTGGGGCTTCCAGGCACAGGCAGCAGCCCTGGCTCGGCCACCCTCCCACCCCAAGAATGATGGTCCAGGCACTTGGAGCCTGAGTTCACATCCTGCACATACGAGGCTTTTGTCCTCACCTAGAGAATGGGGGGAGAGGCTGGAGAGAATGAAGTGGCAGGAAGCAGGGAGCCTGGCCAGAACTGGCACACCAGAGCCCACGGAGAGGCATGGGAGGAGGCCTTGCCCAGTTATGGCAGTGGGGTCCTCTGCGGCCTGTGTGCACACCTCCCACCCTGCCCTCCCCACTTTGGGCTCCCCAGCTGACACATCTAGAGCCTTCCCACCTGCTCAGGGGCAGGAGGGATGGCCTGTCCCACAGCCCTGGCCTGTCCCAAGGAGTAGGGGGCTGAGCTGAAGCCTCAGGCAGTGCAGCGGGGCCTGTTGGGCGACTGCAGCTCCCCGACCCTGCACCTTTGTCACTCACCAAAACACAGCAGCAGCAGGAGTGGCACCGCAGCGGGATGCCTCATGTCCTCAGGCCTGGCTGGGGCACAGGACTGGGGTCGGCGGTGGCAGAAGTGTTGAAGCAGGAGCGAGGTGCAGGCTCCATGAAGTGGAGTTTTATGCTGGAGATGAGCACAGGCCCGGCTATGCTGCCCAACCCGTTGGCCCAGCCTGTCCAGCTCCTCTCCTCAGGAAGGAAGCGCCCAGAGCCGACTCCTCTGTGACCTGGCCCTGAACCCTGAGACCCCCAGGCAGACCCCTCAAGTAAGCGCGGCGCGGGGTGCCGTTGGCCTTGGTTCCTGGACCCTGAACACCCAGCAGACCCCAAGCTGACCGCGGTGCACGCGAAGTCCGTCCAGCTTCATTCATTATTATTATTTTATTTATTTTTTTAATTTTTTGAGGCGGAGTCTTGCTCTGTCGCCCAGGCTGGAGCGCAATCTCGGTTCACTGCAAGCTCCGCCTCCCGGGTTCAAGCCATTCTCCTGCCTCAGCTTCCAGAGTAGCTGAGACTAAAGTCACCCGCCAACACGCCGGGCTAATTTTTTGTATTTTAGTAGAGACGGGGTTTCACCATGTTGGCCAGGCTGGTCGCGATCTCCTGACATCGTGATCGGTCCTCAGCCTTCCAAAGTGCTGGGATTACAGGGATGAGCCACCGCGCCCGGCCTCATTCAGTATTTTATTGAGCGCCGACGGAACACAGTGGGGCTGGGCAGCGCTGGTGGGAAAGTCAGGGACAGGGGTGTTTGTGGGGCCAAGGGCAGGGGAGGCGATGGGACATGGGGCGGGGTCCGGGGTTGGCCCCAGCGACCCTCCTCCCGGGACACCAGGCCCCAGAAGTCCCCCAGGCGCGCGTCAGCCCGGCCCAGGTGGCCGACACTGGCTCCGGCTGCCGTCCCTCGGGTGGGACGGGTGCTTCCCGGCACCAGGCGGGGCGGAAGCGGCTCCGGGAAGGCCGGGCCGTGGTGACAGTCTCGGTGTTGCCGCCTGGCTCTGGGCGCGGCGCCGCGGCGTAAGAGACTCGGGGAGGAAGTTATTTGGGGCACGGAGCTGACGTCAGAGCCAGAGTGGGGCCGGGCCGCGGGGTCGGGGGCGCCGGGCCTCAGTTTCCCCGCCGGCGCCGGGGGTGTACTCGTGGGCGGGGCGGGGCCCGGGCGGCTCCGGGCGGGGCTAGGGGGTGAGGGCGTTCCCGCCTCAGCCTTGTCCGCGCGCGTCGTGGTGCTGCCCTCTGGTGGGCGCGGGGCGCGGCGCAGACGTCCGGGGAGCGGGCGGGGCTCTCCCAGCCTCCTGGTCGCGGCTCCGGCTCCCTGAGCAGCCCTCCCTAGCCCTGCCCTCCCACCTCTCCGCCTCCACCGCCCCCTCCCACCCTCCCCGCCCCTCCCGCTCTAGTCCCTGGAGTTCCCGGGTCGGGGGTGGGAGGCGGGCTGGGCAGTCCCTGGGGGGCTGGAGGGAACGAGGGAGGGCGGAGTGGGAAGAGGAGACTCCAAACGTATTCATTCATTTATTCATTCATTCAGTCAATCATTTCTGAACGGATTTGAGCCCAATACCGTCCCAGGTTTGGGGAATACAGACGTGACTCAAACAGACCTCACCTCACAGTGTGAGGGAGAGGACAGGACATCATTTAGCAGATAAATCTCTAATTATAAACCGCGATGGGCCAGGTGCAGTGGCTCACACCTGTAATCCCAACACTTTGGGAGGCCAAGGCAGACGGATCACCTGAGGTCAGGAGTTCGAGACCAGCCCGGCCAATATGGTGAAACCCCGTCTCTACTAAAATACAAAATTAGCCGGACATGGTGGTGGGCGCCTGTGATCCTAGCTACTCAGGAGACTGAGGCAGGAGAATCACTTGAACCCGGGAGGCGGAGATGGTAGGGACACAAGATTACACCACTGCACTCCAGCCTGGGAGACAGTGAGACCACGTCTCAAAAAAAATAATAATAATAATAATAATTATTATTATTATTATAAACCACAGAAAGTGTTTCAAAGTGTCTGGGTGACCACATTTCTCCAGCACCCGATGGTCGGGTCACTGGTGGGCTCTCAGAGGCAGTCTTAGAGCCTCTCAGGTAACTACTTCCTCTTGGCACCTTTCTCTGTGTTCCTTGGTGTCTGCTCCCTAACCCTCCTTTTAAGCCCATTCTTCTAAGGGTGGCTCCGCCTTAAATTCAAGTAAGTTGGCCGGGCGCGGTGGCTCAAGCCTGTAATCCCAGCACTTTGGGAGGCCGAGACAGGTGGATCACGAGGTCAGGAGATCGAGACCATCCTGGCTAACACGGTGAAACCCCGTCTCTACTAAAAATACAAAAAAAAAAAAACCTAGCCGGGCGTGGTGGCGGGCGCCTGTAGTCCCAGCTACTCGGAGGCTGAGGCGGGAGAATGGCGTGAACCCGGGAGGTGGAGCCTGCAGTGAGCCGAGATCGGGCCACTGCACTCCAGCCTGGCCCACACAGTGAGACTCCGTCTCAAAAAAAAAAAAAAAAAAAATTCAAGCAAGTGACAAAAGTCAAGAGGACGACAGGGAAAGCTGGGCTCTTGAAGAACAAGGCACAGCCACGCCGCCGATTAGAGAATCAGGAACCCAGACTCGCCTCCATGTCCCTGTGCCTGGAGCCCACGGACCCAAGGCTGAGAACAGGCCCCTTCCTCACAGCAACCACCCAACAAATGAAGAGGGCGTTAAAATCCAGAAAGATTTTTATGGTTTTTTGTTTGTTTGTTTGTTTGTTTTTGAGACAGAATCTCACTCTGTTGCCCAGGCTGGAGTGCAGTGGCACAATCTCGGCTCACTGCAACCTCTGCCTCCCAGGTTCAAGCGTTCCTCCTGTCTCAGCCCCTCTAGTAGCTGGGATTGCAGGCACATGCCACCACGGCCAGCTAATTTTTGTATTTTTAGTAGAAACAGAGTTTCGCCATATTGGCCAGGCTGGTCTCGAACTCCCGACCTCAGGTGATCCACCCGCCTCAGCCTCCCAAAGTGCTGGGATTATAGGCGTGAGCCACCATGCCCAGCCTGTTTCCACCTTTTGGCTATTGTGAATAATGATGCTTGAACTTGGGTGTACAGATATCTCTTTTAGACACTGCTTTCAATTCTTTTGTGAATATACCCAGAAGTGGAATTGCTGGATCAAATGGGAATTCTTCATTTAATTTTTTGAGGAGTAGGCAAAATGTTTCCCAAATTTTTAAGAGAAAATTAATGACTAAATATTGAAGATAATCCAACTTCTAAAAATGCCCTTAATTATTATTATTATTATTATTTTTGGAGACACAGTCTTGCTCTCTCACTCAGGCTGGAGTGCAGTGGTGTGATCTTGGCTCACTCCATCCTCTGTCTCCCAGGGTCAAACAATTCTCCTGCCTCAGCCTCCTGAGTACCTGGGATTACAGGTGCCCACCACTACACCTAGCTAATTTTTGTAATTTTAGTAGAGCCAGGGTTTCACCATATTTCCCAGGCTGGTCTCAAACTCCTAACTTCATGTAATCTGCCTGCATTGGCCTCTCAAAGTGAGATTACAGGCATGAGCCACTGCACCTGGCCAGCGGCCCTTAGTTATTAATATTCAAGTCCATTTTTTTTTTTTTTTTTTTTTGAGACGGAGTCTCACTCTGTCGCCCAGGTTGGAGTGCAGTGGCCGGATCTCAGCTCACTGCAAGTTCTGCCTCCCGGGTTTACATCATTCTCCTGCCTCAGCCTCCCAAGTAGCTGGGACTACAGGCGCCCGCCACCATGCCTGGCTAATTTTTGTATTTTTAGTAGAGACAGGGTTTCACCGTGTTGTTCAGGCTGGTCTTGAACTCCTGACCCCAGGCGATCCACCGCCTCGGCCTCCAAAAGTGCTGGGATTACAGGCATGAGTCACCACGCCTGGTGGTTTTTTTTTGTTTGTTTTGTTTTGTTTTGTTTCTTTAAGTTATAGTATGTTCGTTTTTTGTTTTTTGTTTTTTGTTGAGACGGAGTCTTGCTCTGTTGCCCAGGCTGGAGTGCAGTGGCATAATCTTGGCTCATTGCAGGCTCCGCCTCCCGGTTCACGCCATTCTCCTGCCTCAGCCTCCCGAGTAGCTGGGACTACAGGCGCCCGCCACCATGCCCAGCTAATTTTTTTGCATTTTTTTAGTAGAGACGGGGTTTCACCGTGTTGCCCAGATTGGTCTTGAACTCCTGACCTCAGGTGATCCACCAGCCTCAGCTTCCCAAAGTGCTAGGATTGCAGGCGTGAGCCACCGCGCCGGCCTCTGCCTTTTTTTTTTAATATAATGTATTTAATTGTAGGCTTATAAAATTTATTTATTTATTTATTTGTTTGTTTTTATTTTTTTTTTTTTGAGACGGAGTCTCGCTGTGTCTCCCAGGCTGGAGTGCAGTGGCGTGATCTCGGCTCACTGCAAGCTCCGCCTCCCGGGTTCACGCCATTCTCCGGCCTCAGCCTCCCAAGTAGCTGAGACTACAGGCGCCCGCCACCACGCCCGGCTAGTTTTTTTTTGTATTTTTAGTAGAGACGGGGTTTCACCATGTTAGCCAGGATAGTCTCGATCTCCTGACCTCGTGATCCACCTGCCTCGGCCTCCCAAAGTGCTGGGATTACAGGCTTGAGCCACCGCGCCCGGCCTAAAATTTATTTTTTAACAAAGACGTCAAAAAATGTATTTAACACCCAGCTTGCAAAACGTCTGAAAATTTAACCATGCGCTCTAGAGAATCCAGCACTGTCCTCAGATGCGGTTTTTGACGGTGCTCATTTTACTTCGTCATGTTTGGGGTTTTTAGTGGTCGGGACACGCAAAGCCAGGAAGAGGAAAGAGGCCAACGGGAGAAGAAAGCCGGGCTCCAGTCCCTCACGCGGCCACCGGGGGGCGACAGACACAGGCCAATGAGCAGTTGGGGACCGGAGGCGCCCGGGCTCGGCCGCTAGGCCTCTTCTCCTCCCACAAGGAGGACTGACACGCTTTTCCTGATGTTTTGGGCATGGCCTGGCACAGGCGCGGCGGCAGGGGTCTGGGGTGCCGAGGGGCCGCGCCCTGCCCGGACTTAGGTCCCTGGTATTGACTACCAACGCTGTCCATCCGCAGTGCCCCAAGTGGCCCCGGACACCGAGCAGGCTCACTCTGGCGGCCGCCATAACCCCTGCCCGGCAGCCTCTGCGGCCGGAAGTTGGCTCGGCCGGTCTTCCGGGCATCCCTCGGGCAGTTAACTGCATTTCTGCTGGCTGGGTATCCGCGGCAAGTTGAGATCATTAGTTGGCTGGAGTTAATTAACCACCGGACAATTAGCTTATATTTTTCCTGATCCTAAGATCAGCTGGATTGGTGAGGAGGAACTAGAGACAACAGCTTCCTTCTGAGTCACCTTGAGGCAGCAGCCCCTGGGGAAATGCAGGGAAGGAGAGTACCCAGGCTTCCTGGAGGGGTTGGCCCCAGGGCATGCCCTGCTTGGGCGGAAAAGCTGGAGTTTAGATGAGGAAACCTGTATTCTCTAGACCTCCTGCCAACTCTTTGCCTGACCTTGGGCAAAACATTTAACTCTCTGCTGGGCCTTGGTTTCTTTAGCAAACACTGACGCCTGCCTCTCCGGCCCCCCCGCCCAACCCCCATCCCCTGCTTTTTAAATGTTTATTTATTATTATTATTTTTTGAGAGTCTCCCTCTGTCACCAAGGTTGGAGTGCCGTGGGGCGATCTCAGCTCCCTGCATTCCCCTTTCTTGTTGGCAGACAGTGCCCACCTCTTCAGGGAAATTTACTCCAGTGCTTCATCCTACCTGATTGGACACAGCCGACCATGTTGGTCCTGGTCCCCTTATCAAATGCTGGCTCCTGGAAATAGCATTAAAGCAAGCAACTGATAAGACAAAACTGGGCTGTTGCTTATCATGCTAAGGGGAAGCACGTCTTGAAAGAGTCATTGTAGAGTGGAGGTGGGAGGGCAAAGTTGAGATATTGAGGTTTTGGGGTTTGGTTTAAGGCAGGTCCTTTGATGTCGGACTTAATCAGAGTCGGGTAAGGATCATGTTATAATAGTTTTAGGATTGTTGGTCACAGTAGTTTAGTATTGGTGGTCACAGAGAAGTGAAGACTTCAAAGACTCTTGGAGCTTTCTTTGATGCTACCTGTTGAAGAGCTGTGTGGTTTTATTAATAAATGGATTTTCGGCCGGGGGCGGTGGCTCAAGCCTGTAATCCCAGCACTTTGGGAGGCCGAGACGGCCAGATCACGAGGTCAGGAGATCGAGACCATCCTGGCGAACCCAGTGAAACCCCGTCTCTACTAAAAAATACAAAAAACTAGCCGGGCGAGATGGCGGGCGCCGGTAGTCCTAGCTACTCGGGAGGCTGAGGCAGGAGAATAGCGTAAACCCGGGAGTCGGAGCAGGGAACAAGGTGGGGCTCACCCCAGGCAGGGTGAGGCACCTCCTCCAGGCTTCCAAAGCCCCCCTGGGGGCTGTCCCAGCAGCCACCCCCAGAGTTGGTGTGCAGTTCCAACTCCATCACTCACCCAGCAATCTTGGGCAAGTCACTTAACCGCCCTAAGCTGCCTCAGTTTCCTCATCTGCAGAGTGGGAATAATAAGGACATTTGAGGATTAGGTGAGGCAATGCATGGCACTCCTAAATGTTTGCTCTATTCTATAGATATTACATTTATATAAATATATTTATCATATACATATTCACTGCTATGATTTTTTTTTTTTTTTTTTGAAACAGTCTTACTCTGTCACCCAGGCTGGAGTGCAGTGGCGTGATCGCAGCTCACTGCAACCTCTGCCTCCCAGGTTCAAGCAATTCTCCTGCCTCAGCCTCCGAAGTAGTTGGGACTAAAGGCGCCTGCCACCATGCCTGGCTGATTTTTTTTCTATTTTTAGTAGAGACGGGGTTTCACTATTTTGGCCAGGCTGGTCTTGAACTCCTGACCTCATGATCTGTCCGCCTTGGCCTCCCAAAGTGCTGGGATTACAGGAATGAGCCACTGCGCCCAGACGCTATGATTGTTTTTAATTCCCCCCCAGCGGTAGCAAGGGCCCTGCTGGAGGCTTGTTGATTGAACTGGTGAAGGGGCACAGGCTCCTGTCTCTTTGTAGAGGAGGAAGCCTGCCCTGCTTGGGTGGGAATGTCAGAGTGTCCCAAGTGTGGGGCGCTGCAGGGCACTGAGTCAGGGAAGGTCTCACAGGATTCAGCCCCGGCTTGCCATTGCCGCAGCCGCTGGGAGGAAGAACTGAGAATCCACTCCCAGGCCAGGACCCGGCCCGGCACAACCCAGTCCAGCAGCTCTTTGAATCCTGGAAGCCCCAGCCCTTCCCGGGGCTCCTCCTCTCTCAACCCCGCTGCTTGGCTGCGCCCTGGTGCCCATGGGCTCCTCCCCTTCCCAGGACTCCAAATGAGGTGATTCACAGCTTTCGGGAAGTGGGTTAACGGGATTCCCGAGCCCCGGGTTGCGCCAGGTCTCTGGACTGAGTCACAGGGGCCCGGGCCCCTGCAGGTGGGTGCCCTTACTGAGCCTCGGGCACCCCCTAGATCCCTAAGGCCTTAGCACCCCCCAACACTCAGTACCCCAGACTTCACCACTCCAAACCCAGGCCCTCCCCAGCCCGGAACCCCTTCCTTTCAGTGCCCTGGGACCTTTCTCTGCCCCTAGACAGTCAATGTCAGGGACCACTGGGCCAAGCCCCCTCCCCTGCCCTTCCGGAGGCCACATCCTGGACCCACAGCTGGAGCCTGGGGTCTTAACTAGAGCCCCCCCCCAGGGCCCTGTAGCGGCTGGCTTCCTCCCCGCAGCCCCGCCCCCTGCCCATGACCCACAGCCAGAGTGGCCGCGGGAGCCACCTCGAGACTGGTCTGACGGCATTCCGCCTCCCGGGATAAAACCTGGGGCGACCTGCAGGGAACCTACACACCCTGACCCGCATCACCCTGGGTCTCTCGAGCCTGCTGCCTGCTCCCCCGCCCCACCAGCCATGGTGGTTTCTGGAGGCCCCGCATCCCTGGGTGGGGGCTGTCTTGGCACCTTCACCTCCCTGCTGCTGCTGGCGTGGACAGGTACGTCCGGAGGCTGCTCCTCCCTCCTCCCTCCCTCTCTCCCTCCCCGCCTTGCCTCTCTCATCTCCTTTCTGCTTCTGCTCTCTGTTTATCTCTGGCTCCTTAACTGCTCTCTGCCTCGGTTTCTTCTACGGCTGTGAGGATTAAACAGAAAACGCAGCAAGTACGCAGCGCGCCTCTGTCTCTGGTTACTGTCGGCGTCGCCATCGCCGCCTCCTTCTCGCCTCCGTGTTCTCTCATCTCCTCATCCTCCGCGGCTTGCCTCTGGGGCAGCACCGTTTTGTTTTGTTCCTGCGGCACGAGGTCAGGGGAGGGCACCAGTGGCAGCAGCGTCCAGGCCCGAGGGGCTCAGGCCTGTGCCTCCCTCGGAGGAGCCGGTCCTGGTCCTCGGTAGGCAGGCTGGACGGGAAGCTGCGGGAGGGCAGGCTCACAGCTGTGCAGCCAGGGCCTGGCCAGGCCCCAGGAAATGCCCCGCCAGGAGGGGCCCTGGGGTTGAGAGACTTGAGGGGCTCCCTGGGCACTGGAGGCCTAAGGGTTCCTCACCACCAGGTACTCAGGGAGACCCCTCCTCACTTGGCGCTGGGGACCCTCCTTACTGGGCACTGGGGGACCCTCCTCACTGGGTGCTGGGGGACCCTCCTCACTGGGTGCTGGGGGACCCTCCTCACTGGGTGCTGGGGGACCCTCCTTACTGGGCACTGGGGGACCCTCCTCACTGGGTGCTGGGGACCCTCCTTACTGGGCACTGGGATCCCTTCTTACTGCGTGTTGGGGGCCCTTCCTCACTGGGCATTGAGGGCCCCTCACCACTGGGTCCTGGGGCCCCTCACTGGCCTAACTGTTTCCTTCTCTTGCCCTCAGCCACCCTCAATGCGGCCAGGATACCTGGTGAGTGGAGCTGGCAGCTCTGACAGGAGGGAGAGGGGAGGAGGCCCAAATGCAGGCAGTATTTATGTGTCCCTCCCCTGGGCACGAGTCAGAAAGGGGCTGGAGTGAAAGGGGGAGAGAGCCCAAGGGGAAGGGAGGCAGGAAGGAGACACCAACGCAAGGAGAAAGGCTTGAGAGGTGCCAGAGCCAGAGGAGAGAGAGAGCCAGGAAGGTGAACAGAGCGGAAAGCAGGGTAAGGAAAGGCTGTGGGAGAGACCAGGTGCAGCTGACAGGGAGGGAGTGGGAGGGCCAGGGCAAGGGCCAGGGGAAGACCAGCAGAGAGTGAGGATGGAGGGAGGGAAGGGACTGGGAGGTGGGCGGAGCTTGGGGTGTGGGTTGGGTTGGGGTACAGGTGGAGCTTAGTGTGTGGGTAGAGCTAGGGGTGTGGGTGGAGCTTGCAGTGCAGGTAGAACTTGGGATGTGGGTGGAGCTTGGGGGCATGAATGGAGCTTGGGCTGTGGGCAGAGCTTGGGGTGCAGGCCTAGGGATTGGGATTCCGAGGGTGGGTTGTAGGAAGCTGGAGATAACAAAACTTGACCGTCCCCTCCGGTTCCCCCAGCCTGTGGGAAGCCCCAGCAGCTGAACCGGGTTGTGGGCGGCGAGGACAGCACTGACAACGAGTGGCCCTGGGTCGTGAGCATCCAGAAGAATGGGACCCACCAGTGCGCCGGCTCCCTGCTCACCAGCTGCTGGGTGATCACTGCTGCCCACTGTTTCAAGGAGTATGTATAGCCAGCCTGGGACACTTGATTCTCCAAGGCCCTAGGCTTTGTGCCCCAGGTCCTGGACTCCCTTCACGGGCTCTGCTTCTGGGCCTCTGTTCAATCTTGGTGCCCCTCGATTCTACCTAGAAGCCTCTCCTGCCTTCACACCCCTGCTGTTCCCCCAGGTACCTCCTCCCAGACCCTCCTGGCTGATCCTCCTCTTCCCTTTCCTTCCAGCAACCTGAACAAGCCATCCCTGTTCTCTGTGCTGCTGGGAGCCTGGCAGCTGGGGAATCCTGGCTCTCGGTCCCAGAAGGTGGGTGTTGCCTGGGTGCAGCCCCACCCTATGTATTCCTGGAAGGAGGGTGCCCGTGCGGACATTGCCCTGGTGCGTCTCGAGCACTCCATACAGTTCTCGGAGCGGGTCCTGCCCATCTGCCTGCCTGATGCCTCTATCCACCTCCCTCCAAATACCCACTGCTGGATCTCAGGCTGGGGGAGCATCCGAGATGGAGGTGCGGCTTCTTTCTCTCCAAAGTGGTTGGGGGTGGATGGGGACAGAGGATGGCAGATACTTAGGGACACAGACACCATGAGCAACAAAAGGTGGAGGCCAGAGGCACAGCATGACACAGATCGAAGAAAAGATGGGTTGCAATCCAGAAGAAACCTCGGTGGGCAATTTCAGGCCATTTCTCTTTTCTTTCTCCTTCTTCTTCTTCCTCCTCTTTCTCATCTTCCTCCTCCTCCCCCTCCTCGTCTTCCTCCTCCTCCCCCTCCTCCCCCTCCTCCTCCTTCTTCCTCTTCCTCTCCCTCTCCATCTCCTTCTTTTCTTCTTCTTCCTCTTTTTTTTTTTTTTTTTTTTTTTGAGACAGGGTCTTACTCTGTCACCCAGGCTGGAGTGCAGTGGTGTGATCATAACTCACTGCAGCCTTTGCCTCCCAGGCTCAAGTGACCCTCCCACCTCAGTCTCCCAGGTAGCTGGGACTACAGGTGTGCGCCACCACACCTGGCTAATTTTTGTATTTTTTGTAGTGACAGGGTTTCTCCATGTTAGACAGTCTGGTCTTGAACTCTTGGGCTCAAGCAGTCCACCAGCCTCAGTCTCCTGAAGTGCTGGGATTACAGGTGTGAGCCACTGTGACCGGCCTCATTTCTACTTCAAAAGTATCTTTAGCTATGTTTTGAGGCAACAGCCAGACCCGTGAAGCTATTCAATTCATCGATATAGGAATGGCTGAAAGGAGGTGTGTGTGGGACTAAGCTGAATACAGGGTGAATATAAAAAGAGGTCTGATTCCAGAGTGGGAACAGGCACCACCTGGTGGCAGCATGCCATAATTGTGGGCAAAATTCTAAGGAGAAAATGCAGCCTCCTTAATTGTAAAATACAATTTTCAAACCACCTCTGGAGGTTTGGAAAACATCATCTTGAAACTCAAACTAGATTACATAAAGCAAGAAGCAGGGAAGCAGCAAGAGAAAGGTAGATGACAGATCGACAGGCAGGTGGATGATAGAGACTGGGCTAAGGAAAAGAAACATACAGGCAGAAATGACGATACAATGAAGACCTGGAAGAGAGAGTTTGAGAGAGAGAGATAGAGACTAAGTAAGAACAAAGTGTAAGACAGATGAAAATTTAACCAGATTCCAGAATAATTAAGAGAAATGACACTAGCTCAGGTGTATGGGGATCCCACTGACTCTGAGGTTTCAGCCTCCCCATAATCTCGGTAGGGGCTTCTTCAAGAGCTAGAATTGCGGACTTTCAGTCCACAATCTGCAGACCACAGTCTGTAGACCAGCTCCAGGCAAGGTGTGGGGATCCCTCAGGTCCTGGTAATTTTCAGCATTGAGAAGACATTTATTGAACACTTCCTCTATAGCAGTCCCAGTGCTGGATGAAGTAATGCAGTGTCTGAGACAGGAAAGGCTCTAACCATCTGTGGATATCAGAACATTTATTAAAGAGGCAGGCAGTGTCTTAGGTTTCACATTCATGTTCTGATTCAGCAGGGCCAGAGGTGGAGACCTGGAATTTCGATTTTCTGAAGGCATCTTGGGAGAGCCTGGTAGAGCTAATCTGTTAGCCTTTGAGCACCGCTGCTGAGAGGAATGGTGGTCGGGGGGATAGTCCTTTGAGGAGGCAACGAGGAGGGAAGACCCCCAAGCCTGATTCTGTCCTCCTTCCTCTCAGTGCCCTTGCCCCACCCTCAGACCCTGCAGAAGCTGAAAGTTCCTATCATCGACTCGGAAGTCTGCAGCCGCCTGTACTGGCGGGGAGCAGGACACGAAGCCATCACTGAGGACATGCTGTGTGCTGGCTACTTGGAGGGGGAGCGGGATGCTTGTTTGGTGAGCCCCCCCCCCCACCCCCCCCCCCCCCCCGGCCAGGAGGGCCTCGAGAAGGAGCCAGCATCAGCCCTGTCCCCACTGGGCATCACCACCTCTCCCTGGCCTCCTCCCCAGAACTGGCTGTGCCTGACAGCCCCCGGTCCCCATAGAACCAGCCTCAGCCTGGCTCAGCCACTCACTTATTTGTTCAGACATTAAACTGGGCATCCAGCTGCACCACCTCGCCCTCCGGGAGCTTGCATTCCCTTCAGGGGGTTTCCCATGCCTCAGTACCCAGAGCCAGCTCTAGCTCTGGGACTGTCTGGAAGACAGTCAGATAGTGCAGCAGCAGCACCTGGGCCTGGCCGTCTTAAGGCCTGGCTGCAGCTCCTACTCTGTCGCCAGGCACTTCTCTTGGGTGGAGGTCAGGTCCTGTCTCCCCCAGGAAGGAGAAATGGGCTCCCGGGGCTCATCTACTCCCTGACAGGGCACGGGCCCTGGATTCTGCCACCCCCTGTGCCACGGGGGTTCCTAACCTCGCCTCCTCTCTTCAGGGCGACTCCGGGGGCCCCCTCATGTGCCAGGTGGACGGCGCCTGGCTGCTGGCCGGCATCATCAGCTGGGGCGAGGGCTGTGCCGAGCGCAACAGGCCTGGGGTCTACATCAGCCTCTCTGCGCACCGCTCCTGGGTGGAGAAGATCGTGCAAGGGGTGCAGCTCCGTGGGCGCGCTCAGGGGAGTGGGGCCCTCGGGGCACCGAGCCCGGGCTCTGGGGCGGCCGCGCGCTCCTAGGGCGCAGCGGGTCGCGGGGCTCGGATCTGAAAGACGGCCAAATCCAGATCTGGATCTGGATCTGCGACGGCCTCGGGCGCATTCCCCCGCTGTAAATAGGCCCAACTACCTCTGGGGGCCCGGACGGCTGCTGCGGAAAGGAGACCCCTCCCCGCCCCGCCCGACGGCCTCAGGTCCCGCCTCCAAGGCCTCAGGCCCCGCCCCACGACTTCCGGTCCCGCCCCGGGCCCCATTGCTTTTGTGTTTATAAAAGTTAATGATTTTTATAGCTATTTGTAACCCTGCCCACATATCTTATTTATTCCAACAATTTCAATAAATTATTTATTCTGCAATGTCTGTTTTTCCCATGCCTGGGGACACTGGAAAGCAAGGGTCCAGAGGGAGTTAAGGTAGGGGGTTGGATGTTGGCCTGGCCAGAGACTGTGCCATCCTGTCCACCTGGGGCTCACTCTGACCCCTGCTTCCACCTACGGTTCAGCCTCCTGACCCCTGACCTTTGCAGCCTGGGCCACCCTCCCTTTTATCCCTCTCCCAACCAGGGCAGGGCAGCCGATGGAGAGGGGCCAGAGTCTAGAGGCCTGGGAGACCCAGCTCTGCCGCTTCAGGAAGGGGAAGAGAGGGATTGGGAACCCCCAAACTGTGCGTTGGATTCCAAAACAGGCTGGTGAGGAGAAACCCAGCCCCATGGGAGTGGGGTGCTACCTCTCCACCCCCGGCCAAGTCCCCCCTTCTGCTTTCCCCACCACAGGCCTCAGGGACCTCAGGATGGCAGAGCTGAGGGTGGTGGTGGAGGGAGGCGCCCAGGTGAGCCCCATCAGAGCCCCGTCTCCGTAGGCAGGCTGCTGGGTCCTCATCCCCAGGAGCCGATTCGTCGAGCAACTCACCGCGAAGCTCTAAACTCCCCGCTTTGGAAGAAGCAGCGGACAGTGGCAGGGCAGGCCTCTGGCTCTGTGGGCATCAGGAGTTGAGTCACCCCACCTGTCCCCATGGGAGGTGGGAGTTTGGTCCCAGGCCAAGAGGAGGGGTCTGTCTGGCTTCCTGCCTGCTTAGAGATGCAGATTAATACTCTGTTTCCCCACAGCCACTCATCTGCAACCAGCTCTGGCCTCCTGGACCCAGGGTCCTCATCCCAGCCTGCCTGGGTTCAGGCCTTCCCCAGCATTCCTGTAACAAGTGGGTATGTGGTTAGAGGGCTGTGCTGCTGGCTTTGGTGAGTATGTGATCCTCTAGTAGCCAATGCAGAAGAGATTCACCCAAAGCGAAGTCAGGAAAACAACCAGGTCCAATTGTGCTGAAGAATGAGACACTATGACACCACCATGAAATGTCTCCGTCCAGAAATGATCAAGGACATGGCCAAGTTTGGAGAAGGCAACACAGTTTTAGTTTTTTGTTCTGTTTTGTTTGGAGTCCTTTGTTGGAAGTGCAGTTCTAAAATATTTGTTCATACTGTCTTGATTGCCTTATTTATTTATTTTTTTCGAGGCAGGGCTTGCTTTGTTGCCCAGGCTGGAGTGCAGTGGTGTTACCCTGGCTTACTGCAGCCTCTACCTCCCAGGCTCAAGTGATCCTCCCACCTCAGCCTCCCAAGTAGCTAGACTGCAGGCGTGAGCCACCATGCCAGGCTAATTTTTAAATTTTTTATAGAGACAGAGTTTCTCCATGTTGCCCAGGCTGGTCTCCAACTCCTGGCCTCAAGCAAACCACCCGCCTTGGCCTCCCAAAGTGCTAGGCTTACAGATGTGAGTCACTGGCCCAGCCTGATTACCTTCATATGATTATCAGATCACAGTAAATGCTATGGGGTTGTTTTTATTAAAACAACCAACCAACCAACCAGAACTGCCCTGCTGTTTGTTAGAGTGACCGGCCCAGGGAGTGCTGGGGTGACTCAGGTGTCCCAGGTAGCAGAGCCAACCCCCACGGCCCCTCCCTTTGTGACCTGGTCCCCTCTTGATGTAACCCTATGCTCTGGGTTCCCTTACCTCCTCTGTGGGCTTTAGCCCCTCCCCTCTCCAGTCCTCATTTGCTGGCCTCTCTCCCTCACTCAACTTCTGCCCCTGCTCCTGGACTGCCCCCTTCTGTCTCTGAGTGCCCCTTTCCTCATTTCTCCACTTCCTTCCCCTGCTCCTGTCCTGGAGTCTCTCCCTTCAGTGTCTCCTTCGACCCCGCCAGCTCTGCCCCCCTTCTCTGTGCCCCCAGACCAGCCCTCTCCTGCCCCTCGTCTTCCTCTTTTTCCTCTCCTCTCCTCTCCCTGCTCCTGTCCTGTTTCTCCTCCTTGTCAGCTCTCACTCTCTGACCCTCAGTTTCATGGGTGCATGTCCCTTTACCCCATCCCTCCACAGGCCCTGGTGCACGTGCATCTACTCTGCATCTACTCCCTCTAATAGGGTCCTGACAGAAGCCCCTGACAGAATGTAGCGCCTAGAATGGGGGCAGAGAAGCCGCCCCGTAAGCGGCAGGATTCACCAGGGAGGGTGGAGATTTCTCTGAGTTGGGAGGTCGCCTCCAGGCAGCCTTGAGTTTAAGGGAGCCTCTCATGCCTTCCTTAGTGGCTCCATGGGATCCCAGGGCCCTGAGGGACAGGCTGGGGGTGGAGTGGGAAGTCAGCTCTGGCTCTGAAGTGCAACAGGACTTCCAACGATGTCCTCTCCAAACCACGGTGGGGTTCCAGGAGGTGGGTACAGAGTCTTTCCAGCCGCTGTCGGGCTCAGGCAGCACGTGCAGCTCCCTTTCCTTGGGGACCCTTCCCTTGGGGGTCCTGCCAGCTCACAGTGTGTGCACCCTACTCAGAGTCGGGCCAGCCCATGTCCCCAAACTTTGCTGGACATGCGGAGTCTATGGCTCACAAAACAGCCCCCTTCTCCCCAGTTGGAGCCTGGCCCAGGAACAAGTCCCACATGTGAACCATGTTGGGTGGGAGGACCTCGCTACCTCCGCCCCACCAGCATCACCTGTCTCTAGGGGCTGCAGAGACCCGTAGGCCTGGCTGTCTCCTCAAGAGGGAATCCCACATGTTCCAGTTGTACTGGGCCCCCGTGGCCGGCTATACGCCCATCCTAGACTCCTGGGCAGATGTCTCTGGCTCCTTTTTCACCTCTCCGATAGAACAGCCTTTTGCAGAGCTCTCTCTACCTCCCTAAGAGCACCCATGGGGACCATCTGACCTCTGCGACAAATGTCATTACAGCAGGAACTGCCTTAGCTGCAGGCTGTGAAGTCTGGCTACTCCTTCCTCAAATCATGAGCTCTTGAGGGAACTTTCTCCTATGTCTGGGACCTCCTAACTCTTCTCCACTTTGCATCCGAAGCAAGCATTTAAAAGCACATGCTTAAATACATGACTTCCCTCCGTGGCAGGCTCCTTTGGTTGGCTAAGCCAACCCCTATTTCAACTCTTCTGTTTGCTTCTTCCACCTGGAAGAGCTAAATGTTCATTGTCTCCTGCATGGTCACATGTGCCTGTGGGACTAAGTGTTGGCCAATGAGATGGGTGGCTTCTTAGGAAGATTGTTTTTCCCTGATAAAAGGAACATATTCAGCTGGCGTCATCCTTTCTCTCCTTCCTCTTTCTTCTAGTACTGAACGCACATGCAATGCCCAGATTTCAGCAGTCATTTATGACCATAAGGCTACAACCTGACATGCTAATGACAGTGAACCACGATTCAACAGCTATGGGTGTGATGGTGAGGTCAAGATGCTGCCCTAGCTCTACACAGCCTGCCTCCTTCCAGGCTTCTTGTTTTGTTTGTTTGTACCAGTACCAGCAGGGATGTTGCCCTGATGCAGCTGGACTTCCCCTTGCAGGCCTCTGATTTTTCCAGAAAAGTCTATCAGGGGGTACACACCAGTTAACTGTCTCCTGGTGATGGAAGCAGCTGTTGAGGATTATTCCCTAGACCAATTAATCCATTAGATTGCAACATGGTGATATTCCTGGTCCAGTAGTAGGAATTCCTCCATAAAGACAAACTTTTCATCATCTATTTATTTTTGTTGCCCCTTTCATTCTATTTTTAAAAATTTTCATGTTTTGGCACCTATTTATCCTCAAAATAATGAACTGTTTCCTTAGCATACTCCAAAAATGATAAAGGAGGTATTTTTTATAATATTATGAACTCACGGTTTTTTTTTGAGAAGGAGTCTCGTTCTGCTGCCCAGGCTGGAGTGTAGGCTCACTGCAGCCTCTGTCTCTGGGTTAAAGCGATTCTCCTGCCTCAGCCTCCTGAGTAGCTGGGATCACAGGTGCCAACACCACGCCCAGCTAATCTCTGTATTTTTAGTAGAGATGGGGTTTCACCATGTTGGCCAGGCTGGTCTCGAACTCCTGACCTCAGGTGATCTGCCCACATTGGCCTCCCACAGTGCTGGGATCACAGGCGTGAGCCACCGCACCTGGCCTTATTTTACGTATTTAAATCAGTCCAAGTTATTGCCCACAGTGATGCTCCCATCGTCGGCCAGTGGGAACATCTTCTGGTTGGCTCCTGAGAGGGACCACTCACTTTCCAGACCCTCCAGGACCTGAGGCCAGGCTGAGATGATGCTCACAGGACTCGCATACTGACCGGAACCCCGCCTGATCGCACGGGAAGTCCACTGGAAACCCTCGTGGAGCCCACCGGAAGTTTAGCGAAACACCCTCAACTTCCGTAAGAGCGCAGGAAGTTTGACAGAAAACCGCCGGAAACGGACAGAAAGGAGTCCCTGCGACCCCGTAACCTCCTGTGGCGCCCCCTGTTGGCAGAGTCGTAGCGAGGCCGAAATGAGGTCCGCGACGTGGCTGAGTGAGCATCCCGGCTGCCTGTGGATGGGTGGGTGTGGGGCTGAGAGGCGACGACAGTGGGGAGCTTCCTCAGCGATCCTGGGCTTCTCGGGTCAGGCCGACTTCAGTGCGGGCTGGAGGCCATGCACAATACCAAGCGCATGGCGTGGTCCTCAGCTGCCTCGGGACTGGCTTCGCCTCTGCTCCTGGCCCTGGGATGGGGGCCAAAGGTTTTGGGCAGTGGCAGCAGCAGGAGGAAGTAGTACCTGGAAAACGTGTCTCCTGATTCGACCCTTCCTGTCTGGAGGGCTGGGCTGTGGTTTGTTCCCATAGCAACGAACAGGGCTCCCCTGGGCACCAGCCCCTTAGATACGGTGTGCCCCGGGAGGGCGCTGCAGGAGCTACAGGTCCCTCTGGTGGGAAGGGAGGCGGGAGGTGGGCTGGGGCAGCCCGACTGGCCTGCGTGGATACACTACACTTCCTGGTCGGGGACAGGGTGAAGAGGGTTGGTCCCCACCTCTGCCTTGAGCAGAGCTTCCAGTAGGTGAAGCAGTGGGGGTCTCCTGCCTGCCGGAAGGATGGGTGGGGCTTCCACATCTCAGCCCAGTAGGGTGGACTGACCGGTCCTCTGACCTCTGGCTCCTTGGAGGGACTGGCCTGAAGTGGGTCCTGGCATCCCCAGCCTCCTCTAAACCACCTCCCTGGAACATGTGGGACAGGAACCCAAGCGGCATCTGAGGAGGGCAGGTTCTGCCAGGCACAGAGGGCTCCAGCGTGATTGCCACTGGTTAATGACCTGCGCCCCCCGCCCCCCTAACCTCTGGTGCCGTCCAAGGACTCTGACCCCAGTGCAGTGTCTGTAGGGAAGAGGAGCCATGGGGCTTCGGGCAGGCCCCATCCTGCTGCTGCTGCTGTGGCTGCTGCCAGGTGAGGGGTGCGCCTCTGTCTTCTCCTCCCTCCCACCCCCTGCCAGCCTGTGTGCTCCCCTTTGCTCTCTTGCTTTCCAGGGGCCCATGGGGATGTGCTGCCTTCAGGTACTGTAGACATCTCATCCCTGCACTCAGCCAGCCCCTACTCCTGGCCAGGGAGGACTGGCCCCAGGGGACATGCAGAGGCCCTTGGCCCCGGGAGCCTCATCCCTGAACATCAAGGGCTGAGGGATGTCAGAAGGTGTTAGGGTAAAGAGTGAGACTGGTAGGGAGGGGCTTTCTGAGAGAGAAGAAAGCTGAGGTCTCCCACCTGCCCATCCCTTTGCAGAATGCGGCCACTCCAAGGAGGCCGGGAGGATTGTGGGAGGCCAAGACACCCAGGAAGAACGCTGGCCGTGGCAGGTTGGCCTGTGGTTGGCCTCAGTGGGGCACATATGTGGGGGCTCCCTCATCCACCCACGCTGGGTGCTCACAGCCGCCCACTGCTTCCTGAGGTGAGTGGCGCTGGGTGGGGGTGCTCCTCGCCCCTCCCCTCAGCGGCTGCCTGCAGCGGGCCATGTGTTTCCGTTCCCCTCTCAGGTCTGAGGATCCCAGGCTCTACCGTGTTAAAGTCGGAGGGCTGACACCCTCCCTTTCAGAGCCCCACTCGACCTTGGTGACTGTGAAGAGGCTCCTGGTCCACTCCTCATATCGTGGGGCCACCACCAGCGGGGACATTGCCCTGATGGAGCTGGAATTCCCCTTGCAGGCCTCCCAGTTCAGCCCCGTCTGCCTCCCAGGACCCCAGACCCCCCTTGCCATTGGGTCCCTGTGCTGGGTAACAGGCTGGGGGTCCACCCAGGAGAGAGGTAAGGGGAATATGCATTCACCAGCTCCCACTCCTAGCCAGGGAGGACCAGCCCAGGGACCACGAAGAGCCAGCCTGAGTGGTCTCCACAGACCTTGGTCCGAATGTTTATCTTCTCTCTCCTCCCACCCCACCCTGAAGCTGGGAACACTTGGGGCCAGGAACCATACTGTCCAGACTGTGGGACTCCTCTTGGCCAAGATGACCACCATATTAGATTTTGGGGATCTTGAGCCAGTGTCCAGGATTGTGCCCATGGTGGGATGAATAAGCCAAGGCTAAGAGGTCATGAGATAAGCCAGGGTCATGGGAGAGGATCTGGGCTTGAGCACTGCTCCCTGACCCCACTGTCTCCTGGTTTAGGAGTTGGGACGGGCAGGGTGGGTGGGCACAGAAGAGGTAGGAGGTGCAGCCTGCCACCATCCCAGGTGAGAGGGAAGAGGCTCACCTGATGGGGACGAGGCTCAAGGTGGGCTCAGGCTGGCCCCCGCATCACATCCAGCCCTGGCGAGTGTCCTTCAGGAGGTGGCTGTGCCCCTCCTGGACTCGAACGCGTGTGAGCTGATGTACCACCTAGGAGAGCCCAGCCTGGCTGGCCAGCGCCTCATCCAGGACGACATGATCTGCGCTGGCTCTGTCCAGGGCAAGAAAGACTCCTGCCAGGTGACTGCAGCTCCTGGTCACCCCATGCAGAAGTGTGGGCTCTTTAGGCTCACCGTGTCCTGGGCTCTGTCCCCATGTTCCCCCCCTCAGGGTCTCCAGAGGGACCAGAGTCCTTGCCTGGCTCCTTGGCCTCAGCAGCAGATTCTTGAAGGCACTTGGGGCCCAGGCGTCTCCCTCAATGCAGACCTCATGGGGCCCTCCCTCTCTCTCCCCCAGGGTGACTCCGGGGGGCCGCTGGTCTGCCCCATCAATGATACGTGGGTCCAGGCTGGCATTGTGAGCTGGGGATTCGGCTGTGCCCGGCCTTTCCGGCCTGGTGTCTACACCCAGGTGCTAAGCTACACAGACTGGATTCAGAGAACCCTGGCTGAACCTCGCTCAGGCATGTCCGGGGCCCGCCCAGGTGCCCCTGGGTTCCTCTCAGGCATCTCTGGGTCCCATCCAGGCACCTCCAGGTCCCACCCAGTGCTGCTGCTTGAGCTGTTGACCGTACGCTTGCTTGGGTCCCTGTGAACCCTGAGTCATGGAGTCCAGGGTCCCCCTTCTGGTAGGATTGATGGAATCTAATAATAAAAACTGTAGGTTTTTTTTAATGTGTATTTTATGTCTTTGCTTTTCTAGTAATTCATTTTTATGCTTTACAAAAACATCTGGCTGTGGTAGGTTGGGAGAGCATGGTGCCTGCCCCGGGCAGTGTCTGCGGAACATCTTCATCATTAGGGTCACGGTGTCCAGACTTGCTCAGGACGGTGTTGGGCGATGCCTATCCTGTGTTGTTAGATAAGATCCCTGTCCCTCTCAAAAGTGTCCCAAAAGTGGGAGGAAGAGTTATATAGTCACTGTGACTCAGCCAGTGCAAGAGCTGGAGCTCCTTGAAGCCCACGGATTTTCAGTCTCAGGCATTCTTGTGTAGTTGCCATGGCCACCAACTGTCCAATAATAGGCCTTGTTCTCCCAGCTCTGGCCCACGGAGTGTCCATGCCCTCCCCCACCACCCTGCCCTCTGCTGACTGCAGCCAGTGGGGGCCCTGGGGGCTGTTTCAGGCGTGAACAGGGGCTTTGAGGCCATTGCCAGTGTGGTGGGCAGCGCCCTCTGCCTGTGTCTTAGAAGCATGGGCAAAGCAGTGCCTGGCAGAGCCAGTTCCACACTTGCAGGGAGGGGTCCATTTGGAAGCTCGCAGCCTGTGTCAGTTTAAGAAACTCTCCCGTCTCTGTGAGACAAGGTGGCTGGGCTTTCACTCCAGTTTGGCACCAGGTCTGGGGGAAGGACCCTCTGCTTGGGTAGGGCACAGTCGGGCCAGCCTTTGTCCCATCGCTACTCCCCTGCCCTGGAGGTGGCTGTTGGGAGCACCCCATGGAGGAGAGGGGCTTTGAGGTCGCAGGTGAGTGGGCAGTGGAGCTGTCACCCCAACGCCTCAGCCCTCCCAGGGAGCACCCTCAGCTGGGTGACCTCTTAGAAAAATGAGGTTGTTCTACTGCACTAGAAGACTGGATGCTCTAGAATCATCTCTCCTTTTGCTGTGGGCCCACCTTCATAAGGTCCTGTTCTCCCCTGACGGCCTCGCCTCCTTCCAACCCCTCTGCCTTCATCCCAGGATGGACGGCGTCCTGGAGGGACTCATTGGATCCGCCAGGAGCTCAGCCTCCTGGGTGGAAGTTTCTGGCCTCTCAGCTTCTCTGTTTTGTCTCACAACTTTCTCTTGCTCATTACTTTCATGCGTTAGTTTGCTAATGGATTCTCTGGCTCTTCACTCATAAATAACTCCTTCCAGAAATCCAGTGAGGAGGGAAAGTGACAGATTAAAACAAAGTCCTCACTTCTAGATTTCTGCTTAAATGTTAGAGTCGGCAGTCCCTCCTCACACAGGCCCGAAGCACCAAGAACGTCTCAGAAGCGCTAAGCCTCCCTCCTTACATATCAGCCCCTTCAGTTTCTCTCTCCTTTTTTCTTTTTTTTTTTTTTTTTTTGAGACGGAGTCTCGCTCTGTCGCCCAGGCTGGAGTGCCGTGGCCCGATCTCAGCTCACTGCAAGCTCCGCCTCCCAGGTTCACGCCATTCTCCCGCCTCAGCCTCCCGAGTAGCTGGGACTACAGGCGCCCGCCACTTCACCCGGCTAGTTTTTTGTATTTTTTAGTGGAGACGGGGTTTCACCGTGTTAGCCAGGATGGTCTCGATCTCCTGACCTCGTGATCCACCCGTCTCGGCCTCCCAAAATGCTGGGATTACAGGCTTGAGCCACCGCGCCCGGCCACTCTCCTTTTTTCTTTTGTGACAGGGTCTTGCTCTACTGCCCAGGCTGGAGTGCAGTGGCTCGGTCTCAGCTCATTGCAGCCTCGACCTCCCAGGCTTAAGCGATCCTCCCACCTCAGCCTGCCTGGGCGTACACGTGCACACCACCACACTCGGCTAATTTTTGTATTTTTAGTAGAGATGGGGTTTCACCATGTTGCCCAGGCTGGTCTTGAACTCCTGACCTCAAGTGATCCGCCCGCCCCAGCCTCCCAAAGAGCTGGGATGACAGGCGTGAACCATCATGCCCAGCCCACCCCTCCAGTCTCTTCCCCAGATGACCATGACCAGGGCTGCTATGCCCTCAGCCCTGTGCCAGGATCCACTCCCATCCAGGAGGCCCCTGTCCAGGCTGTGTGCCTGTCTGTGTGTGGATGTGTCTGTGTGTGGGTGTGTATTTATGTGTGTGCCTATGTATGGATGGGTGTTTGTGTGTTTTTATGTTCATGTGTATGTGTGTGTGTGTACGTGTGTGTGTACTTGTGTGTATCTGCGTGTCTATGTGTCTCTGTGGAGTAGGTGTGTGTGTATGTGTATGTGTCTGTGTGTGGGGGTGTGTGTGTGGGTATTTGTGTCTGTGTATGGGTGTGCATTTGCATGTGTGTGTTTGTGTGTTTCTGTATGGATAGGTGTGTGTGTCTCTGGGTGTGTGTGTGTGGTGGGTGTGTATTTGTGTGTGTATGTATGTATGGGTGCGTGTGTGTGTGTCTCTGTGTAGGGGGTGAGTGTGTATTTGCATGTATGTGAATGGATATTTGTGTGTGTGAGTGTGTCTCTGTGTGGATGGGTGTGTATTTTTTTGTGTGTGTGTCGGTGGGTGTTTTTGTGTGTCTCTGTGTGGGTGGGTATTTTTGTGTGTGGGTGGGTATTTGTGTGCTTGTCTGTGTGTATGTGTATTTGTGTGTGTCTCTGTATGAGTGGGTGTGTATTTGTGTGTATGTGTGTCTGGGTGTGTATTTGTGTGCGTGTGTGGGTATTTTTGTGTGTATGTTTGAATGGGTGTGTATTTGTGTGTGTTTGTGTGTCTGTGTGGTCCTCAGCATCTCCCACATTTCCTGGCAGTGGACAGCACGAATGCTCCTCGACCCCCACCGGCAGGGGAAGCCTGCTGAGCCTCTTTTCTCTCCGAGGTGTCTGACACCTGCCAACGGTGAGTTAGAAGGAAGGGGCCTCAGCCAACAGCAAAAGCCACAGGAGGATTTTTCCCACCTGACTTGGGCTGTGGTGCACACACAGCCCTCTTTGTCTTCTCTTTCTCTGGCCCCTGACACAGGTGCTGTTTGTGGAGGACTTAGGAGACTGGTGCTTCTGCTTGTGAAGCCCCTCCTGCCCGGGGCTTGTTGGAAACACACAGAGGGTTCTCCTGGTGCCTGGGCCGGGGTCTGGGTGCAGGTCCGAGAGGGTGGTAGGTGCAGACGTGAGTCCAGGTGGCATCCAAGGTGCTCCACTTCCTCCAGCAGCTCCTCTTTTGTTTTTTTTTTTTTTTTTGAGACAGAGTTTGGCTCTGTTGCCCAGGCTGGAGTGCAGTGGCGTGATCTTGGTTCACTGCAAGCTCTGCCTCCCAGGTTCACACCATTCTCCTGCCTCAGCATCCTGAGTAGCTGGGATTACAGGCACCTGCCTCCGCGCTGGGCTAATTTTTTGTATCTTTAGTAGAGACGGGGTTTCTTTTTTTTTTTTTTTTTTTTGAGACGGAGTCTGGCTCTGTCGCCCGGGCTGGAGTGCAGTGGTGGGATCTCAGCTCACTGCAAGCTCCGCCTCCCGGGTTCACGCCATTCTCCTGCCTCAGCCTCCCGAGTAGCTGGGACTACAGGCGCCGCCACCTCGCCCGGCTAGTTTTTTGTATTTTTTTTTAGTAGAGACAGGGTTTCACCGTGTTAGCCAGGATGGTCTCGATCTCCTGACCTCGTGATCCGCCCGAGACGGGGTTTCACTGTGGTCTCAATCTCCTGACCTCATGATCCACCCGCGCCAGTCTCCTAAAGTGCCAGGATTACAGGCGTGAGCCACCGCTCCCGGCCCTTCCAGCAGCTCCTCTTAGGCCCCAGCTGCCTGGCCCACTCTGACTGCATGGCAGCCAGCACCAAATGTCTCTCAGTAGGACCCCCAGCTTGCTGGTCGGCGTGTCTGTGGGCCCAGTGGACTGCAGGAGGCCTTAGGACTAGTGACGCTGTTTAGAGACAGGTCAGGGCGGGAGCTGCACAGTTCAGTGTTGTGTAGGAGGAAACAATTCAAACGCCCCTGCAGGGCTGAGCTGGTGTGGGGATGAGGAAGTGGCCACAATGGACTCAGGTGTTCCGGAAGGCTGACAGGCTGACTTCTGTCCCAAGGCCAGAGCCGCCCAGGATTGGGGAATGTTTGGCCAAGGGTGAGAAGCAGGAGCAGAGGCAGGGACCCAGCACAGGATGAGCAGTTCCTTCCTCACCCTGGAGCCCAGGGTGCAGGTCTGGCACGCACCTTGTCTCTGAACTTGTAGTGAGTCGATGAAAAGGAATTTTCAGGATCACAGCAGGCTCTGCCAGCGGCACTGTGGGCGTGTGGACCTCGGAGTTACAGGACAAGAAAATCACATGTTGTACGGCGGCTGAAATATTTGGGCACTTGGGGACCCTCAGGAAAGAACCTCCCCACACAATGATGGGACTGGGCCAACACCTGAGCAGGAAGTGGTAGGAGGACTGTGGGATTGGGGTTTAAATTCCATGACTCACTCACTCAGCCTGGGCTTCCTTGTCTGTAAAAAATGTGAGATTAACACCCATCCCAAGGATGTTTGTGATGATTAAATGAAGCAATACTTGTGTAAGCACTTGCCATTGCGCCTGGTCCAAAATCGGATCATGATGAATGCTAGTGTCTTTTCTTTCCTTTCCTTTTCTTTTTTTCTTTTCTTTTTTTTTCTTTTCCTTTCTTTTTCTTTTTTCTTTTTCTGAGACAAGGTTTCACTTCTGTTTCTTAGGCTGGAGTGCAATGGCGTGATCTCAGCTCACTGCAATCTGTACCTCCTGGGCTCGAGCAATTCTCCTGTTTTAACCTCCCAAGTAGCTGGGACTACCACACCCGGTTATGTATTTTTGTAGAGGCAGTGTCTTGCCATGTTGCTTAGGCTGGTCTTGAACTCCTGGGCTCAAGTGACCCATCTGTCTAGACCTCTCAAAATGCTGGGATTACAGGTGTAAGCCACTGTGCCTGGTCCTGCTAGTGTGTTTTCTATCCATCTATCCACTCACCCACCCACCCACTTATGCATCCATCCATCCATCTACTCACCCACTCACCCACCCACCCATCTACTGACTCATAAATTCAT